GCGGGCCGGATCCCACGAGTTGGTCCATAGAGTTCCACCTGAAGGAGGAACCCCTGACACCCGGCTGCGGTGCCATCATACGCCCTCGGGAGCGAGAGCCGAATCCCACTGGATTCCGGAGCTGGTCTGGTGGGGCTGGCCGATGGTGGTGGTAATGTAGGAGGAGGTGTGGGCACGCCTCCCCTTTCCCATCGGCGCAGGGTGTTCATTACCTCCTGCATGGCGGAGCCGAGTTGCTGGATCCTGGCGTCCTGGCAGCTGACCCGATCCTCCAGCGACTCGGTCGCCGCCGCTGCTCCTGCTGACTCCATAGTATGGTGTGTTGTTCTGTCACGAGCTGATGTGGATGTGGTGTTGGAGTCAGGCGCAGGACACAGAAGCTTAGTCCAACAGACTTTACTTGTCAAAATACGACAATACAAAATAACGGGCCTCAACACAATGGAGGCGAGCGATTACGCATACTGTGCGTAAATACACAAAATACAAGTGATTACGCAAACAGTGCGTCAATACACTAAATTCACGAGAGCAAATACAAATCACCAACGGACAGGCGGACAACAACACACAACTACAAACAAAACCAAAGGAAACTTATAGGTGACATAATCAATACGTGATATGGAACAGGTGCACTAATCAGACAAAACCAAACAAATATAGAGAACATCAAACGGTAGCAGCTAGTAGCAGCCGAAGCCTGCCCGAACAAGGAGGAGGAGCAGTCTCGGCGGAATTCGTGACACAATTCCACACAAATATATATTTACTTGTGGGTTTATGGTTCATAAAAATGGAAAAGGCATTACAAAAATGGCATATCTGAGGCATACTTAAAGAATGAAGTTGCAAATAATCGCATAGTAACAGCCTGAAATACACAATAATGTCCACTATAACTTTTTCTGTGGCCCTAAGGCACTGACAACTGTCTCTGTTTAAGGTTAGAGTGCTTTATGTAGTTTAAACTTCTACACAACAGCAGGTGTTCACGTACATGGATGCTTGCAGATGATTCAATGTTCAGAGGGTACCAAGACAACTGAAAATGTGTAACTTATATTGACAAATAACTGCTTTTGATCAAACAAATAGATCAGTGTAGTGATGTAACTAATGCATTGTATGATGATGTGTTAGTGGAGCGATCTGGGGATGGAAAGTCGGTTCTAACCTACAGACCTATTTATTCCTCAGAGGCACTCATTTATCTACCAATTGAAAATACACACTGAAGAGGTTCCTAAGTTCAGATCAAACTGTGAGGTCTTTCTGACTAACAGAAAATAGAGTCGACTAACAACACATAGGGATTTCCCCTAAACACAGTGGTACACTCATTGGAGCCATTGCAATACTATTAATGGTATCATTGACGGACATAAATGGAATTTAAAGGTCATAGAGCAACCAAAATTGTTTTAATAGCTGACACCATTGGACAATAATAGCAGACTAACAGCCAATATTGTAATAAAAACATATGTCAGAAATAGAGTGTTGTTTAAAATTAAATTAATCGACTCCATTATTTTTTGTGTGTTGATAATGCTATAGTCAAAATGCATTCAGAATATTTCAAATGGATTCTGCTCTTGGGTTTATTGCTTGTAAGCCTTTATAATTAGACTAATCAGGCAGGAAAACTGTTGAACCTCTGTTCAGTGTAAAATTCCACAGGTTAATAAACAAGTCTTTAAGGGCTAGTAAACTCAACCCATAAACAGAACTGCACACTCACAGATGGATTATAACTCCTCAGACTTACCCAGCATGTCCAAGCATTGAGACACATTTAGGACAAAGCCCAAAATCAACAGCCCTGAGCATCCCATGGTGGTATCATTGAGAGTGATGACTCAATTTGACTACAGCAAGTCTTCCTATGAGGGTATTTAAATGTGTGTGTTCTGTGTGTGTTCTGTGTGTGTGTGTGTGTGTGTGTGTGTGTGTGTGTGTGTGTGTGTGTGTGTGTGTGTGTGTGTGTGTGTGTGTGTGTGTGTGTGTGTGTGTGCGTGCGTGTGTGCGTGCGTGCGTGTGTGTGTGTGTGCAAGAGAAGCTGTCAGAGTCAGCTGTAGAGGGTGTGTGCTCCAAACCTCTGAGCAGAGCTGTTTTTTTACAAACACACACACCACACGCACACAGTGTAGGGCTATGTTGTTTAGAACCACTTTGTTCTCCTGGTGCCCTATATGTTATTATGTGCACAAATCTGTTTGAACAGAACTGCCTCTTCTATGGAGTAGTGTTTTCACTTCTTAGTAGTAGCAGCTGAATGTCATACTGCAGGATGTGTCTGTTCATCTCCTCAGTCACCTCATATAACAAAGTTTCCCTGTTGCCCACGACGATGCCATGCATCAGTCAGCCCAGCTCATCTCTGCAGGAGTCCTCAGAGACAGAGAGAGACACAGCCTGTCTACACTGAAGTCAACTCACTGTTTCTCACCTGCTGCTCTGGAAATCACTCACAAAGGCATTGTTTTACAACACAATA